GGAGGAGGGGGGCTATTGTCCCCTGTCCACGTTGATGTTATGTTCTGCAAATCAATTTTTTTAATATCTACATATATTCCTACCTTATTTAAGTATGTACAAGAGGATCATGGTGAACATGTGTTCGTCACTCTGCCTTACTGCACCAAAGTGCAGCCACAATGGCGAAACAGTGCCGAGAGATTGGCGGGTTCATGTTGATTTTGCCGTGGCCACGCACCAGACGAGGGATGAGCAGCTTGCAAGCCATGGTCGGCACTTCAACACTCCACTTTGCTTTGAGATCTGTGGTCGCTCTTCCTCTGTCTTCCTATAGACATGCGGATATAATCCTTGTATTCCCAAAGTGTGGACAGTAACAAAAAATAATTCACGATGATGCGCCTTTCCAAATATGTGAATGCATGCATTTACTCTCTCCCTTGTTACCCGAACATGGACTCACCAACCAACTATTCACCAACGAACTGCTTAAGGCCCTAGAATTTCTTTTAATTTAAAACATTCAAAGTTTCATTTTTTGCTTTTTGTTTTTTCTCTATTTTATTTTTTACATCTTTAAAACGATTAGGGATTTCCAAAAGTTTCCATATTTTTTTGTGATTTTTTTATTTTTTTTTCAAGAAATTAGAAAATGATAATGGACTCCAAAAGATCTCATTATTTTTAAAACATGTTCGCATATTAAAAAACATGTTCACGATTTTGAAAAACATGGTTTGGGAAAAAATTGTTTGTGTATTAAAAATGGTGCATGAATTTGAAACAATATTCACGAATTTAAACAATGTTCACAAAAAATGACCGTCAATTAGAAAAAAAAATCATTGATTCAAAAAACAATTCGGCTAAAAATAATGTTCATGCAGTTCAAAACGGTTCTTAAAAAAAATCATGATTTACAAAAAACAGTTCCCAAATTTCAAAAAATATTCAGGAAAATAATAGTGAAGTGAAATAATTTCATGATTTAAGACCAAAAAAATCACGACTTTTTAAAAATTGTTCATGATTTCATAAAACTGATCGCGAATATGATGTTGTTCATGATTTAAGAGATTGTTCTGGATATTTGAAAATGTTGATAAATTTGACAAAAGATGTTTGCAAAATGAAAAGGCAAAAAAGTAATGAAATAAACATGAAACCGTGACCAAAAATCAGATAACAACCAAACAATAAAAGATTAAAAAAAGTCTGGGAGGTTCTAGAACCTTCCCAAAAGCAGGTGGGCGCCAGATGGGCCGGCCCAGGCGTGGGAGAGGCCGCGACCTCGTTTCTTTATTTTTAGTTTCATGTTTTTTGGTCACGGTTTTTTCTTTATTTGTTTATATCAATTTTTTATACTTCTGATGTATACGAAAAATTTATATTAAAAACATAAAAGGTGTGTGAAAAAATTATGATTAAAACTCTGACGACTTTGACCATCTCCCATGGCTCTGCTCATGTCTGCCTCTTAACATTGCTCCTACCCTTCTCAAGGGTGGCCACATCAGCATGTGAAGCAACCGCATCTTCCTTTGCTTGCTGGAATAGAATTCCTCCTTCATATAGAGGCTTTCAGACGACTCATCGGCTTTGTTCTGAGAGCCCCATAACTATGAACACTTGATCTGTAGGTACACGGAGTAATCTTACACTGAGATGAACCCAACAACCTGAAATGTACTACAAATCCTTTCGTGTCGACTCGCTCCTCACCGCCGAAAGAAGCACAAATCGGTTTTGAGGCTGGAAGTTTACCACCAACAAAAAAATACACGTACTTAACTACTACAATGAAGACAGCATAGTGACGTGCGCCGCTGTGTGTGTGGGGAGGGGGGGGGGGCGGGAGGCTATTGCCCCCTGTCTATGTTCTGCAAATCAATTTTTTTTTTGTAATTTATTTTAATATGTACATATATTGGGCCCTTATTTGAGTATGTACATGAGGATCATGATGAGCGTGTGCTTGTCACTCTGCCTTACTGCAGCCAAGTGCTGCTGCAAAGCCAAACCGATTTAATTAACCACTATTCTTGAGTTCTATCAACTATAATAGCCTGAAGCATCTACAACAACATTAGACAGAGCAGGGGATAGTGTGCCTCTCTGTCTCGGCCCCCTTTTTTTTTTCTAAAAACAAGGACCTCATCTATCATTGGCCATAGTGGCCACTTTACCTCTCTATAGAAAACTATAATGGCCAGTTTACCACTTGACTGTTGTCCATACGTAGGCAGCAAAGAGCAAGCACAAGAAAACCATCACATACCGAGGGCCTCTGGGCCGTCCCAGTCGGCGGCGATCCGGAACCACCGCTCGTTCATCGCGGCTAGCTTCCTTGCTTAGTGCTTGGCTATGCTTACTCCGCTGACGGTTGTTGGGGTTGTTTCCCCCCTGCTGCAACTTGTAAGATATGTCATTTGTATGGACCGGCTTCTTTCCGTGGGAAAGGTTACTAGCATCAGGAGAGCACTGCAACTTCAAAACCTTTGTATCACCAGGCTCCTCACCCAGATCAAATATTGTTTTCCCTCCCTTTTGATGGCAGGCATCCGCAAGCGCCTTCAAGGATGGCGGCACGATGTCCAAGATACTGAAACAGAAAATGCACCATCACTAAACGATTCCTTTTCTTTTTGATGGTAAAGTGCAGAAAGGTCTTTCGTTCTCTAACCTGTCTAAAGCTCGAAGGGCAACACTGATTTTGCTCCTCATGCCTTCGGCAGTTGACGCTGGATCATGCAATAACCCACGTAGCTGCACATCGAAGTCTTCGAAGGATCTAGGGAGGAACAGAAATTATGGTGAGGTATAGACAACTAAGCATTGAAGAAATGCTTCCTGATATACTATATACCGTATGCATAAATTCACAGCTTTGGGAGCAGCTTCGCCTTCACCAGTGGAGAATGCATATTTTACCACCTGCATAGAAAAAGTTTTCAAATAACCTGAATTGGAATAAAGCTATTGGAATATGGCTGTTTAAATACTCTACCAACGGCTATGTGCATGGTTTAAAGAGACAATTAAGCATTTCAAGCTTGTGCAAGCAAATGTGCGTGCATAGTTTGAAGAAACAAATAAAAGGACTTATGACAAATGGTTTGGAAAAGAAACATAAATTGAATTCTCATAGCGTGAAACCGTGGACATGGGAACAAAACTTTAGAACACACTTACTTCTTGGATATCTGAAAGCACAGATGATACTGGGCAACACTGAAGTAGTGATAGGCACTCAACGAGGGATGGCCTCCCAAATTCCAAGCGTTCATCTACGAAGGATCATACATTTGTAAATCCTCTTGTCATGACAGTCAACTCACAGTAACTTGTATCTAGCAAATAATGATTTGATAATACTCCTGGCGCTGTAGTTGATTAAGATCTAGCATTCAGAGGTTCAGGCTTCCATAGTAATGTTGCAGAATAAATTGAGTAGATATTTGCAGTTAGTGTAAGAAAATTGATTCTAAATCAAGACTACAAATATTTCACTTGCTAAATGTTAGTGGCCCATCTGCGCTTGCGCATATATAGTACAATCAAAACCAATAAGAAAATAGTGCATGTGTATCAAGATTCAAGGGTGAACTAATCAGTTACCAATTTCTCTGAACCAGTCTTGAGTCAGCAGCACTTGCAGTACACAATCTGCCGCACTAATCCTGGCAAGAGGCATCCAACAGAAGTAACATCAACAATCATGATGTCACACAAAGCAAACATCAAATATATACAAAAAATTGGATGCAGGAATATATGAATTACCTCTTAGTAGAATGTGTGGCCACGTGATCCCCTGCAAAAATTGGCCAAAGAAACAATTACATACAAGAGCATCAGGAAAGAAATGCATATAGCTTCACAAGGGAGCAATTTTTATGTGGAAGAACCTCAACCTGAGTCCTCTCACAACTACTGGATCCTAAGATCATTTACCGAAATTTGTCGGAAATTAAAGAACCTAGTGGCTACAAAAGTCGGTCTCTGTTATTTTCTGAAATTTCACCTGATGAGGAGAATGACTTCACCTGTACGGGTCGTCGGGTCGAGGTACTTTGGGAAGGTGCAAGGACTATGCCATGAAGTGAATTTGCGCCCTTTGGTAGAATACGGGGCGATTGCTTCCACGGCCTCGCGTTTCATGTTGACGGTGATGACCCAGGCCTTGTCGTCTTCACTGTTCACCTTAGCCATCACGTAAAGAAGATCGTCGTCCTGCTTGCTCAGCGTGGGAGTACACAAAATCTGTGTGCACAAAATCAGTCTCTTCAGTTCTAGTTCTCCGGCCTCGTCGTTCCACTGCTGAGGCAGTAAACCAGAAAAACTTCGGTCCACCGAAATGTTATCGACATCAACTCTGAAGCGCTGGCTCCAACCATCTGAAGTATTTATCATCATATCCCATATGATGGCTCTCCAGCCTTGATTGCCAATGTGCCTGCGGTCCGGCTCATCGAACTCTATCTCGACAAACTTGATGAGACCGCCGTTGTCGCGGCAGGAGGAGACATCGCAGCAGTATTGCTTGGCAGTGTAAGGGAGGCCATGCTCGTTCATGTGGCAAACCCTTGACCCAGGCAGCTGGATGTACTTGACCACAGGACAGTCGCCGAGCACGTCGGAGAGGAGGAGGATGCCTCTGAAGAGATCGACCCAGCCCAGCGAGGTTGCGCCGATCATGATCGGCGGCTTGCAGGTGCCATGCTTAAGCAGCACTGCCTGATCATCTTCAGATAGGCAAGACATGGGCACCTTGCTGCTCCAAGACCTCGTTACCGATGAGAAGACGTGAGCTTCGAAACGCCAGGGCTTGTCATAGGCAATAAAATTCCTGTCGAGGAAGACTACGGCATATTGCTCAGTGTCATGGCCGCAGGGTAAGAGGCCGTATCGATCGCCTCTTCTGATCTTGCTCGGGTTGGGGTCCGGGATCAGGTCCAGCGACGGCGCCCCCGGGCCGGCTGTGTAGACGAAGTGCTGGATGGATCTCCGGCCAGGGACGGGGACAAATGTCACGCTGAAGAGTACGAGGGCCGCCTCCGCGCAGTGAACGTAGGGCTCGCCCTGGAAGTCCTTGCTGAGGCCAGGGCAGTGGACGGAGAAGTAGGAGACTCCCGGCGGGTCGACGAGCCAGAAGGACGCCTCGATGGGGTGGCCCTCCGTCGTGTGGCAGCCGGCCGTGGTCGCGTTCCGGTGCCCCGAGATGCGCGCCGAGTTGTGGAGCAAGACCCAGTCGGGGTGGCCGGAGCGTCGGGCGGTCCCGCCGGCCACGTATGGATCCATCGGGGAGGGGATATGGAAGGAGATCGGGGAGAGGACCGTGCATCTGGACGGCCGCGGAGGCGGAGGCATGGTTTGGACCCCCGGTACGCGGGGGAGTAGGCGCTCGGGCAGTGGGGAGGAGTCTCGGCTGGTGGTTGCCGGCCGGGGGCGACCGCGGGCGCCGGCGTTGGGTGGGGCGCTCGATGCGGGACGTGGTGCGGGGTGCTTTCGTTTGTACTGGCGAGAGGTTTTACTTTTGGGCGACGCTCTGCGTCGGTGGACCGATCTAAATCGACAAGGTCGGTCACGGTGTGACGGTGTGAGCCGTCCGATTAGCCCATCCGGTCCCGTCCAATTCAGGAAACCGTCTCCTTGCACCCGCTCGGTCGTACATTCCTGCAGCAATGGCACCTCGTCTAAGAGATATTTGCAGTTAGTGAAGTATTTATCATCCTGTCCCATATGATGGCTCTCCAGCCTTGGTTGCCTCTGTTCCTGCGGTCCGGTTCATCGAAGTCTATCTCGACAAACTTGATCAGACCGTCGTCGCAGCAGGACACGTCGCAGCAGTATTCCGAGGCAAAGTAAGGGAGGCCACGCTCGTCCGTCTGGCGAATCCTTGATGCGGGCAAGGTGATGTACTTACCACAGGGCACTCACCAAACACATCGCACAGGAGGAGGATGCCGCTGAAGAGATCGACCCAGCCCACCGAGCCATCTCCGACCATGACCGACTTGCAGGTGCCATGGCTAAGCAGCAATGCCTGATCATCCTCCGATAAGCAAGATAAGGGCACCTTGCTGCTCCACGCCCGCGTCGCCGACGAGAAGATGTGAAGGTCGAAACGGCAAGGCTTGTTATAGGCAAATTTCCTGTTGAGGAAGACCACGGCATAGTGCTCGGAATCACCACCGCAGGGCAAGAAGCCAAATCGATCGCCTCTTCTGATCTTGTCCGGGTCCGGAATCAGCTCCAGCGCCGGCGCCCCCGCGCCGGCTCTGTAGACGAAGTGCTGGGTGGGTCTCCGGCCAGGGAGGGGGACAAAGGTGACGCTGAAGAGGACAAGGGCGGCCTCGGCGCAGAGGATGTAGGGCTCGTCGTGGAAGTCCTTGTTGAGGCCGGGGCAGTGGACGGAGAAGTAGGAGACTCCCGGCGGGTCGACGAGCCAGAAGGAAACCTCGATGGGGTGGCCCTGTGTCGTGTGGCAGCCGGCGGTGGTCGCGTTCCGGTGTCCCGAGATACGCGCCGACTTGTGGAGTAAGACCCAATCGGGGCGGCCGGAGCGTCGGGTGGTGCCGCCGGCGACGTAAGGATCCATCGGGCTGGGGAGGCGGAAGGAGATCGGGGAGAGCACCATGGATCTGGACGGCGGCAGAGGCATGATTCGGGAATTAGGTTACCGGGAGTGGCAAGTCGAAGACGATCAAGAGTCAAGACTGCTGGTGGTGTAGAAGGGGGAGGAGGGGCCAGGGAGTTCGGGGAACAGAGATGAATTCGGAGATGAAACACTCAAAAACACATGAATCCTCAGCTTTTCCTTCTACTTTTTTCTTTGAATTTGTTTGGATTATCACATGTATCATGTCTCATGTGGTCTTTTCCTTCTACTTTCGCTCAACTCCCTTCGTCCCTGATCATTGCACCAGGGATTAGTGGAGAACCACCAAACTTAATGTCGTGACCACGGGGAGACCCCTCCCCTTAATCATCGTTGTGCCAACCGGGATGAGGAAGCACGGTGGTGGCACGAGGGTACGCAGTAACTGGTGTGGGGATGTGTACTTTATTGGCTCCCCCATGTGAGATCATATAAAGTGGCTTAGTGATACAATATAGAGCCATGTCTATCATGTGTTGTGAGCATCATACTTGTGGGGATGACTTCGAATCCCTCGAGAACATTTACTACTCAAGCACCATTTAAAATAGTTTAGTCCCTCTAATTTTCTATCTCTATTTTCCGTTCTTAGTTTAGTAAACACCCCTCTTTATTTGTCTTCCAGCATACTAAATTACTAACTGAAGTAGACTATTTTCAAAGTCCGATTTGAGTGCCTACAGAAGTGCGTTAAGTGAAGACGTAGTTGCGGGGTTTGTGGCGCCTTCCCATTCGCTCCATGTGGGTTGGATACTTCATATATCACGAAAGTGCTACAACAATCATGTGCACTTGCAGGTCATCAAAGAACAAAGAAGAATGAAAGCAAGGTGTTGAAGGTGCTTGATGCCATGTTTTGCTTGTGAATGGACATGCATGTTATAAAATATGAAGAGTATGTGAGCCACAAGAGCAAGAGACCTACATGAAGAACCTCAAGGAAAACTTCAAGAAGTATGGCCAAGCCAAATGAATAAAGGTGATGACTGAAGAAATCCCACGCTCGGCCCTAGCTTTGCCCCTGATCGAGTTAACCTCCTATGTGTATATGCTTTGAAAAAGACGAATGGTAAGATATCTGAAACTCAGATGGTTAACAACAAAAACTGCTTTGAACTTACATTTATTTTGTGAGTTTGTTAACTTGTCCATGAATATATCTCCATTTCCCCCAAATATGGTGGAACCCACATGTATATGCTTCTTCCCAATACGATAAATTTTTCTCTAAAATTTAAAATTGTTTAGTAAGTTTTGTAACTTGTTGGTCAAAATATTCGATCCCCCCCCCCACCAAATGTTGATCCCACACGTACAAGCTTCTGCCCAATACATATGCTACATACAACGGGAGTTTCAATCTCCATGACATCAATGGTCCAGATGTTGGGGAACGTAGTAATTTCAAAAAAATTCCTACACACACGCAAGATCATGGTGATGCATAGCAACGAGAGGGGAGAGTGTGTTCACGTACCCTCGTAGACCGAAAGCGGAAGCGTTATGACAACACGGTTGATGTAGTCGTACGTCTTCACGATCCGACCGATCCAAGCACCGAACGTACGGCACCTCCGAGTTCAGCACACGTTCAGCTCGATGACGATCCCCGGACTCCGATCCAGCAGGGTGTCGGGGATGAGTTCCGTCAGCACGACGGCGTGGTGACGATGATGATGTTCTACCGACACAGGGCTTCGCCTAAGCACCGCAACAATATGACCGAGGTGGAATATGGTGGAGGGGGGCACCGCACACGGCTAAGGAACGATCACGAAGATCAACTTGTGTGTCTAGAGGTGCCCCCCTGTCCCCGTATATAAAGGAGGGAGGGGGAGGTGCGGCCGGCCCCCTAGGGGTGCGCCTGGAGGAGTCCTACTCCCACCGGGAGTAGGACTCCCCCCTCTTGCCTTGGTGGAGAAGGAAAGGGGGGAGGGGAAAGAGGAAAGGGGAGCGCCCCCCCCCCCTCCTTCCTTGTCCTATTCGGACTAGGGGGGAGGGGTTGCGCGGCCTGCCCTGGCCGGCCCTCCTCTTCTCCCTCATGGCCCATGTAGGCCCAATAACCCCCGGGGGGGGTTCCGGTAACCCCCCGGTACTCCAGAAAAATCCCGGTTTCTCCCGGAACAATTCCGATATCCAAATATAGGCTTCCAATATATCAATCTTTATGTCTTGACCATTTCGAGACTCCTCGTCATGTCCGGGATCACATCCGGGCCTCCGAACAACCTTCGGTTCATCAAAACATATAAACTCATAATAAAACTGTCATCGTAACGTTAAGCGTGCGGACACTTCGGGTTCGAGAACTATGTAGACATGACCTAGAACTATTCTCGGTCAATAACCAATAGCGGAACCTGGATGCTCATATTGGCTCCCACATATTCTACGAAGATCTTTATCGGTCAAACCGCATAACAACATACGTTGTTCCCTTTGTCATCGGCATGTTACTTGCCCGAGATTCGATCGTCGGTATCTAATACCTAGTTCAATCTCGTTACTGGCAAGTCTCTTTACTCGTTACGTAATGCATCATTCCGTAACCAACTCATTAGCTACATTGCTTGCAAGGCTTATAGTGATGTGCATTACCGAGAGGGCCCAGAGATACCTCTCCGATAATCGGAGTGACAAAACCTAATCTCGAAATACGCCAACTCAACATATATCTTTGGAGACACCTGTAGAGCTCCTTTATAATCACTCAGTTACGTTGTGACGTTTGGTAGCACACAAAGTGTTCCTCCGGTAAACGGGAGTTGCATAATCTCATAGTTGTAGGAACTTTGTATAAGTCATGAAGAAAGCAATAGCAACATACTAAACGATCAAGTGCTAGGCTAACGGAATGGGTCATGTCAATCACATCATTCTCCTAATGATGTGATCTCTTTAATCAAATGATATCACATGTCTATGGTTAGGAAACATAACCATCTTTGATTAATGAGCTAGTCAAGTAGAGGCATACTAGTGACATATAGTTTCTCTATGTATTCACACGTGTATCATGTTTCCGGTTAATACAATTCTAGCATGAATAATAAACATTTATCATGATATGAGGAAATAAATAATAACTTTATTATTGCCTCTA